GGGGGGGATTGGGGATGGGGGAAGGGAGGTGGAGGAGGAGGAAAAGCCTAGAGAGAAAAAAGGAGGAGGCGAAATCGCGAAGAGGTGAAATCCGATGAGCCATGAAAGCATCCCAGTAACATCACTAAAGTGGAACCTCCTCGTCAGTTTTCTGATTGTCTTGGTATTTTTTTACATATAAATAATAGCGTGCACATTTTCAGCACAAAAAAGACCGGCTTACTGTAAATTTGGAATATCTAACCGTCATCAAAACCAAATACAGGAAAATGATTGAGGAGAAAACACCGCCTGTATTCGGCGAGGTAACTGCAATTTTTTGTTTTTTTTTTGTACGACGGCAGGTAAAAATTTTTTATTCGTTTTCGAACTCATTGCATTGGAACAAGCAGGTAGTGGTACCAGCAAGCACTGTGTTGAGAATTTGAACGCTTTGGTGACCCGAGTTGACAAGAACGCTACGATAATGTGGAAGGCAATGAATGTACTTTTTTGTTGAGGTCGTCAGAGGCGCGCTGCATGGAATAGCTAATCGCGAAATAAATATAAATTCAAAATTACGAAAAAAAACACGATACAATGAGGTGGGTAATTGAGGAAAAAGAAATTGAGGTATTATTAGAGCCGAGATAGCCGAGAAAAAACGAGGAGTAAAATGAGAGAAAATTGTAAATGGAAAGGGAAAAAACGAAAAACCGTTGAAAAATCCATATGTTACACCCAAATGTGCTAAAATTCAAAAGACAGCAGGTGTCTCGTGCTCAGTTTTTAGGAGGCTATCCGGTTTTTATGCATTTTTTGCAGCTATGCAATACAGAGTACGCATACTGACGAGGGGTTGTACGTGTGTCCATGTGTCTGTTTGTGCGTCTGTACCGGTTTTTCATCTCAAGACTTACAAACGCTACAGGGCTGAAACTTTGAAAACTTAATCTACATGCACGTACGGCCCTCAATCTCCAAAATATGCGCCCTTACCCGCGTGGTACCTACGTACTAGCCCGCCAAAGTTTTTTATGGGTAAATTCATAACTCGGGATCTGAGATGCTAGAAACCTGAAATCTTAGGGTAATGTTCCCCGTCCAAGTAGGCGTTAATGATCTCAGAGCCAGCCCCCACCTACGGACCAGCCGAAATTTTTTTCGGGTGTATTCGTAACTCGGGGATCTGAGAAGCAAGAAAATTGAAATCTTCTGCGGATGTTTCCTGTCCAAGTGAGTGTTAAGGAGCTCATACCGAGCCCCCGGATAAGCGCGGTACCCACATACAGTCCCGCCAAAATTTTTTTCGGGTAAGCTGATAACTCGAGGGTCTGAGATGCTAGAAAGCTGAAGTCTTAGGGTGATGTTCCCGTCCAAGTGGGTATTAATGAACTTATACCCAGCTCCCGCGCAAACGTGACACCCGCGTAAGGACCCGCCAAAATTTTTTTCGGGTAAACTGATAACCCAGGAATCTGAGAAGCTAGAAGGCTGAAATCTTAAGGAGATGTTCCCCGTTCAAGTAGGTATTAATGAACTGAAATCCAACCCACGGTTAAGCGTGGTACCTACATCCGTGAAAGTTTTCTTGGGGTGGGTTGCTAACTCGGGAACCTGAGAAGCTAGAAGACTGGAATTTTGAAGAGATGTTACGTGACAGTCCTGGCGGCCAGTCTGAAATTCTTTTAGCTAGAAGCATTTGCCGGAAAACCCAGTGCCGGTAGCGGCAAAAATCTGCGGAGAGCTATGCAAAAAACGCATCTTCGCACGGGCAGCTCGTGCGTTGGCCAGTTATTTACCTGTGGATTTATAAATTATTTTAAGAGTGTCGTTTACTATATCATTGTTGTTGTTTTAGTGTGTGAAAATAATGCGCCCGGCTCATAAATACATAAGAAAATTGATCCAGTGTCAAGATATCAGCTCCACAGATTCACTACGTTATTTACTAAAAATTGGAGATCATATCAGCGAACATTTGGGGAACATTGCTACCAGGTACCACCATTTCTATCCAATATTTTTTGTTTGTTTTTGTTAAAACAGTGTTTTTTTTTAACAAATGTTTTAACTCAGAGATTTAAAGTTTCCAAAGGCTGTGAAAATCATGAAATGCGTTGAATTTTTTAATTTAATTAAATTGTATACGATAGTAAGCGCCACACTCTGCATATTTTTTTACTTAACATTCACAATTTTGTAGTCTTTTAGTCTCAGCTTTCATTTCAGCGTTCATTAGCGGTTCCAGGCGGGTGGGCAAGGGGCCTTTTGCCCCTCTCCCATCCTCCAAAGGAGCTTAGGTAGCAATTGTTTTACTGTACAAAAGTCTGCTTGGCACCCCTCTTTCGCCCTTCTTCCCTCTCCTCCGCCCCCAGGAGCCCTGTCAGTCTCAGTTTAGTGCCCATTGGTGAGAGCGAAAGGAGGAGGTGGAGAGGGGAGCTAGCGTGACGATTGAAG